TCTGCAATGACCTGGAGCTCTGGCATTCTCCAGATCAAACATTTTCCCTCGCTCCACATTGAGCAGATTCAGTTCCTGGGGTGTCTCTGCTGAGCTGCCCTGGTTTGTGGGGCTGTGGTGCTGCTCCATCGCAGCTCAAGTTCAGGATCGCTGCTGAAACCCAGCCCCTGCAGCCGCCCTCCGGCTATTTTCAAAGGCACCTACAGAGCATTAGGTCACAGAGACCAAAATAGCAGATTCCAGTCCAAATCAGGGCGATGAGCACATTTTGTCCAGCCTCTGCCCAGGTCCCAGGCATCCCAGCTTCTCCCAGGCTGGAGCCCCGTCACAGATCCAGTGGGAACACCCCGTGGGTGCCAGTGTCACACCACCATGGGCCAGCTCTCACTTTCAACACCATTTCTACCCCAATTTAGACCCACCTGAAGAGTCCAGTACCTGCTGGGGACCTCCACTGCTGTCCAGGCACAGTGGGGCAGGAGGACAGGATGTTGAGATGCTCGAGCGCGTCCAGAGGAGGCAACAAGGCTGGTGAGGGCTTGGAACACAAACCCTGTGAGGAACGTTTGAATGTTTGAAGGAACTGGGGTTGTTTAGCCTGGAGGAGAGGAGGCTCAGGTGACCTTACTGCTCTCTACACCTTCAGGAGAAGGGAGGCTGTAGACTGGTGGGGGTCGGTCTCTTCCACCGGGCAGCAACTGACAGAACAAGAGGACACAGTCTCAACCTACGTCAGGGAAGAAATAGGTCAGATATTAGGAAAAGATTTTTCACTGAAAGAATAATAAAGTACTGGAATGCTCTTCCCAGGGAGGTGGTAGAATCACCATCTCTGGATGTGTTTAAAAAAGGCTGGACATGGCACTTGGTGCTATAGTCTAGTTGAGGTGTTAGGGCACAGGTTGGACTCGATGAGTTAGAGGTCTCTTCCAACCTCATTATTCTGTGATGCTGTGACACAATCCTCCAAAAGGGGATTTGGGGTTCAGACAACCCTGGGATCCTTGTGCTCTGCACAAACCACACAGCTGATATCTGAGGGGGTGCAGTTGGTGAGCTCAGCCCATCAGAGCTCTCATGCTGACCTCCAGCATGTCCCAGCCCCCCCGGCCGCTCCTGGAGACGGCAGCGCCGGGACGTGACATTCCCTCTGTTTTATCTTCACACATGGGCAGTTCTCAACAAGCAGCAAAGGCCAAACTCTATCACCACCTGGCACCTAAGCTGGGGTAGGGAGAAAGGCAGGCTGAGTGCATGTGTCCCACAGGCATCCAGGAGAAGCCACTCCTGTCCCCAGGAACCAGCTTGAGCCCACCAGCAAGGTCCCAGGGAGGGACAATCACTGAGCAGAGGTGGAAGCCAGGCTCCTTCAAGCAAAGCCTTGGCTGTGAGTCTGATTTGTGGCTCCCAGGCCAGCCAGGTCCTCATCCCAGGAGTGGTGCTTTGGTGCTGCCTTGGCCACTGCATGCTCCTGAGCCAGTCTGGGCAGGGACACAGAGACTGGCAGATGCTCCACAGAGATCTTTGGAGACACTCACTCCAGATCATGGATCATCCCAAATATCCACCTCCAGCGTGGTCCTGAGGAGTACATCATTGAACTACAGAACGGTTTGGGTAGGAAGAGACTTTAAAAGTCATCCAGTTCCACAGGCAAGGAACCTTTCACTAGAAAAAGTCTGTGTTGGTTTTGCTCCCATCCAACCTGGCCTTGGCTAATTCCAGGATGGGGCAGCCACAGCTTCTCTGGGCAACCTGTGGCAGGGCCTCCCCACCCTCACAGGGAGGAATTTCTGCCCAATATTCATTCTAAAGCTCTCAGCTTCTAGTTTAAAACTGCTCCCCCTTGTCCTTTCATCACCTCAGTCCCCTGCTCCCCCAGGCTGGACCATCTCCCCACACTCCAGTTGGTGGGATCCTTCCCACGAACAGCTCCCTCCTTCCTGAGGGCTCAGCATCCTCAATGGGTGCTTCAGAGGCAATCAAAAATTGCTATTTTTTGCCTCTGGGAGAATTCAGCAGCAATTCAGAGAAGAGCCTGGGATTTGGGCCATCTGCATCCTGTCACACATGGCTTGACTGAGTCCCTAAATCATCCCATGCCTGATTTTCCCACCTTTATATAGCAGAGAGGCCATTCCTTGTGTGTCCCACTCTGTATCCTCCCTCCGGAAACCCTCTGGGTCAGAGGCTGCCTCTTGGTATGGGGACTGGCTACATCCTGGCTGCAGAAATGAAATTTTTGGGTATCCCGCTGCAGCTGAGGGATCTGTCTGCAGTTGGGATGCTCCTACCCTCACACAGAGGGCCGGGTTCCCCTCATTCAATTTCCTGGCACAGCAGTTTGCTTTCCCCTTTTAAAAGTGCAGACTGTGGGTTTCCAGTAGCTGAGGGCTTGCCTGAATGCCCTGATTTTGGAAGGAGCTCAGTGAGGCCAGGAATGGAGCAAGGGCCCTCTGGAGCTCAGAAGGAAGGAGGAGAGAAGGTACCACCAGCCAGGCTGGGGTGCAGGGGTGCAGGAGTCTGGGGGTGTCACAGTGTAAGTCACAGTTGGGATGGCTATGATACACAGGGTATCTCCATACAATAGCAAAAACTCCAACCCACACAGAGTAACATCAGATCACATCAGAAGCTTCAAATACCTGCCCTTCTTGTTCCTCAGCCCAGCCTTTTACCCCTCCTGCTCACGCCCTGCCCCTGTGTGCCCTCTGCTCCCTTTGGTGTTGCTCAGTGCCCCTGGGCACTCCATGGCTCATTGCTGTCAGTGCTGCTCACCTGCTGCTCACAGCTGTGCCATGGGGATGGGGCTGGGCCAGCCCCTCCCAATCACACAAACTGTGTGCCTTCATGGAGGAACTGGTGGCCTTTGGAGAGGTGGGGTTATCCCCCAGCATCCCAGACACTCCTGGAACCAGGAGAGCTTTGCAGGCACTGGGTCACTCCAGCCCTTAGAAAACCCAACAGTGCCAGGATCAATGGCAGGGCCAGAGGATGTGAGGAGCCTCCACAGCCCTCACAAGTGCTGCTTCCAGTTACATTTCCCTCCCTTTCCTCTCCAGTCTCACTGAAAATCTTCCCCATCTCCTTCTTGGCCCCTTCCAGAGCCCACATGGAGTGCAGAGCCCGGGTCTCCAGCAGAGCCCTGCAGCAGGGGCAGAGCAGTGAGGGGTGCTCAGCGTTCCTGGGCTGGGGCTGCCTCTGCTCAGCTTCCCAAGGGACAGCAGGCAGGCAGTGCCCAAGGAAGCAGCTCTGTCCTTCCCCTGCACCTGCCCAAGGAGAGGGGAGATGCATGGCAGTAGGAACCCCCATGCAGGGAAGGAGGCCCAGTGAGCAGTGAGCAGGCTGCACTCCATGGCCAGGCTCACTGCTGGCTCCAGGCTCAGGAGCCCTGGTCCCACTGGACCTTGTTCCACCTCCCCTAAAACTCCCCCCTCCCCACTTTGGAAAGGGAAAGGTCTGGAGTGAGCTGAGGCATGGGAAGGTTCGGTGTGTCCTGATGGGAAGTGGCAGGGAAGATGGGAAACCACCTGCCTTCTCTGAAACTGGGAGCAAAGCGGGGAACCACCTCCTAAATTTGGTGAGTCCAGATCCCACTTCCCATGGCTGCTGGTCGGTGTGAGGCCTGGAGCCCCACGGGGAGGGATGAGCAGGCTCCCAGCAAAGCTGTCCTTCCCAGAGCCCATCTCCCCGGGCTCCAGGGGCCTGTCCCCACCATGGGGACACCCCAGCTGTGTGGGGACAGGCAGAGGCAGAGCGCCCTGTCCCCTGTGGAACAGGATGGAGGAGCTGCAGAGTTGCCATGGAGATTTTCTCCCTAGCAGATGCTCTGGGCAGGTGCAAGAAGAGGCTCTGCCCCCCTCGCTGTGCGGCACAATGCCAGCCGGATCCTGCAGAAACAGGGAGCCTCCGCTACCGCCCGCTGCCAGCCCAAGGCCAGCACTGCCACCACTGCCACCACGGCCGCCACTGCCACCACGGCCGCCACTGCCACCACTGCCACCACTGCCAGCCCAACAGCCACCACTGCCAGCCCAAGGCCACCACTGCCACCACTGCTCCCGGCCTCCCTGCCCACGCCCGTGGGGGGAAACTGAGTCACCTCCCAAGGCACCCCAAGCTCCTGGCCTCACCTCCCCCAGCACATGTGACAATGGCATTTCTGGGGTGTTTCCCCCCGCCCTTGGGACCCTCAGCCCCTCTCACTGCCTGCTCTGGCTGTCACCCATTGCCTCCTCACTGAGCACAGAGGTCACACACAGCGTTACCCAAAATGGTCCCACAGGACCCCCACGCTGCCAGGGCACTGGCACGGTCCACATGGACAGTCAGCAAATGCCAGCCTCCCCAGCCTGTCCCAGGGCTGGAGGGGCACTGTTGGCCCCGGGGGTGGCACAGGGCATCCATGAGATGAGTGATGCCATCCCACGGTTGTGCTGCTGGGGACAGACACTGCATAGCTCTGAACCCATCTGTCCTGGGATGACTATATGATGATTTTTTCATGTAGATCTCTCCCAAATTTTATCATATAGTTCTCTCCCAAATTTGCCCTGAACCAAGACACCATCCCGGAGCACCCAGCCCTCCACCTTTCCTGCTGCTCCCAACACTTCTTCTTCCCCCTCCCTGGTCCTTCCAACTACTCATAGAATCATGGAATATCCAGAGTGGGAAGGAACTCACAAGGATCCAGCCCCTGGCCCTGTACAGGACACTGCAGCAATCCCACCATGTTCCTGAGAGTGTTATCTCACTTCTCTTTAAAACCACCCTCTGAAGTCCCCAATGCCACAGCATTAGACACCTAAAAATCCCCTTTCCCTAGGTTTTCCCCAAATGCCTCAAAAGCCACATCATCAGAGCTGTTCACAGCCGGCCAGAGCGTGGCTCCTGCAGCAGGTCCCTCCCCAGGAGCAGTTTCCCAGCCCTGGCCAGCCGTGTTTTCCACTCGCTGCGCTGCCGGTTGCGAAGCGGTTGAGGCAGCAGTGGGAGGGTTCCGGGAGCGACACCCACACAATCAAAAGCTGCTCTATCCAGCCGGGCCGAGCGTTTCCGTGGTAAGAGGAGCCGCTGGCTTGTGTACCTAGCGCAGGGGCTGCGTTTCAAAACACGCCGGGGTCACTCTCCCGCTTGTGCAGAGAGCCCGGGAGCGGATAATGGAGGCAGTGTTTGCGCACATTTCGGCACCATCGCGGAAATAACACGAGCCTCGCTCCTCCTGCAGCTGCACGGCCACCAGGGCACCCTCCCACGGGCACCTGGGGGGACCGCAGGCCTGGCCGTGCCGGGATAAAGCCAAAAGAAGCCCCCAACTCCATGGGTCGGTCCTCTTCCCAAAAATCCAAAGGCATTGCAGGATTCTGCTGGGGCTCTGGCAGCCCAGGGCTGGCAGATCTCTTGCTGCTGCACTTGGTTAGCCGTGGCAGTGAGTGGCACTTGCACCCTTAGGGACAGGGTCTCGGGGTGGCAGTGCTGGGTGGGTGTCCCTCAGGGTCCCAAAGGGGCTGTGGTGTCCTGAAGGGACATGAGCCCCTTCCCAGGGAGCAAAGGGCAGCAGGGGTACCTGGTGTCATGCTGGGTGGTGTTGGGGGTGCTGGGGTGGCAGCAGTGGTGGGGGTGTTGTGTGTTGGTGCAGGGCAGTGCTGTGGCACAGGACAGCCTGGCACAGTCCCACAGAGCAGCACCCGGGGCCCTGCACGGCACTGCCCAGTTTGGTGCTGGTGTGGTGCTGAGTGACACTGTGCCTCTTCAGCACCTTGTTCAGTGCCTGGTGTCACAATACCCAGCTGGGTACAGCCATGGTGCTGCCCAGAATGGTGCCCAGTATGGTTTTGTGCCTGCTTAAGTGTCTGGTTCGGTGTCATCATAGCTCTGCCTGATGCGGTGCCTGGTTTGGTGCCCAGGCCAGCACTGCCTGCTGCAGAGCCTGGTTCTTTGCCCAGTTCATGTCTAGTTTGGTGCCTGGGCAGCACTCAGTGCAGCAGTTCCCAGTCAGTGCCCACTGCAGCACAGCCCAGCCTGGTGCCCAGTTCTTTGCCTGGTTTGGTACCCAGTTCCAGGCTCACTGCAGCAGTGCCTGGCATAGTGCTCAGTTCTGTGCCTGGTTCCATGCCCACTTGTTTGCCCAGGCCAGTGCCCAGTCTGGTCCCTGGTTCAGTGCCTGGTTCCATATCTGCTCTAGCATCTGGTTGCTTGCTCAGCCTGGTACCTGGTTCAGTGCCAGTTCAGTGCACGATTGTTTGCCTTGCCTGGTACCTGCTTCTTTGCCCCATTGCTTTCCCAGCCCATTGCTTGTTTGCCTGGTCTGCTTCCAAGTCCAGTGCCCAGTCTGATGCCCAGCTGTTTGCCCAGTCCAGTTCTCAGTCTGGTGCCCTGCTCAGTGCCCGGCTGTTTTCCTTGAGCAGTGCTCTGCTCGGTGCCCTCTCTGGTGCCTGGCTGCTTGCCCTGGGCAGTGCCCAGTCTGGTGCCCAGCTGTTTGGCCGCTCCACTTCTCAGTCCGGTGCCCTGCTCAGTGCCCGCTCCGGTGCCCTGCTCAGTGCCTGCTCAGTGCCCGCTCCGGTGCCCTGCTCGGTGCCTGCTCAGTGCCCGCTCCGGTGCCCTGCTCGGTGCCCGCTCCGGTGCCCTGCTCAGTGCCTGCTCAGTGCCCGCTCCGGTGCCCGGCCGGCCGCGCCCTCCCGCCGCCGCCCCCGGCCGAGCGGCTCCGCGGCCGGCGCGTTCCAGGCCGGCTCTTCGGGGCAGCGCGGCGCGGGCGGCGCCAGGCGGGTGCGCGGTGCCACCGGCGGGTCCCCGGGCCGCCGCCGCCCGACATTGGCTGGAAACTGGAGCAGCGCGGCGGGGACGGTCGATGCCGATCGATCGCGGCGCGGGCGGCACCGCACGGCACGGCCCCGGCGCGGCACCGCACGGCAGCGGCACCCCGGTGTCCCCGCTCCGCGCCGCCCCGCAGCCCCCCGGGGGATGCGCAGCCCCCGAGAGCGGGACCGGGCAGGGGGTGAAGGCAGGAGCCCGTCCCCGGGTGTCGTGCCAGCACCGGGGGACCCGCCTGGGGGGCGCGCGGGGCTCCGGGAGTTTTGCCGGGTGATGCTGCCCAGTCCCCGTGTCCTTGTGCGCCGGTGGGACGGGGACAGGCGGCGTCAGCCCCGTACCCCAACCCCAGGGCCACCCCTTCGCCCTCCCCGGTCCTTCCTCCTGCTGAAGGGAGCAGCTGGGACATCTCTCTTGCGGTCTCTCCCGCAAGTTCTGGAGCTGGACCTGTCCTTCCCAGTGACCCCGCTCCATGGCCAGCTCCGTCCGGTTGTCCCCAGCACCGGGTACAAAGAGCTCCACGACCGGCCAGCGGCGCTGGGACACGGGCCGAGGGGCTGTGCCCGCCCAGAGCCGCACGCCCCCCGCACCCCCAGCAGCCCGAGCATCTGCCGCTCCCGGAGCTGCGAGGGCTTTGCTCCGGCTGCTGCTGCCGGGCTGCTGCGCAGGGGACGCTGCCCAAAGTTTCCTTCCTAGCAGCAGGAAAACCTTTTTTAATATAGGAAAGCAGAGCGGCGGCCTCGCAGTGCTCATGCGTGGCGGGCAGCGCAGCCCAGCTCCCCGCTTCCAGCCGCCCGCAGGGATGGCCGTGTCCCTGCCCTTTATCTTCCCCAGCCAGAGCCGGATTTTCAGGGCCAGGACGCGGTGCTGGCTGAACGGCGGCGGCCACGGCAGCAGCATCTCTCTGCCTCGGGCTGGGGGATACGCCGGAATCCTGCGGTGCGGGATGACTGGCCCCCGACGCCAGAGCAGGGAGAGCTACTTTTCCCGAGACTGCCGTTAATTAATGGCAGAAGGAGCTGAGCGGGCGGCTCGGCAGCGCTCAGGAAGGGGTTTAGCCCCGGAGCTGGCAGTTCTGCACGGATACCCCCTGCCTGGAGCAGGCAGCCCCGGCCGCTGCCGCATTTGAAGTCGCTGGGTGAGGGCGGCACCAAAGTTTCGCCAGGTTTTGCTCTTGTTTGACAGTGATTTCAATAATAATGCTGGAGGGTCCCGTGGCAGCAGGAACCCCGGGGGGCTGAGCATCCCCTGGGGAGGGGCGGAGGGGGGGCGGCATTTAAATCCAGGAGACTGTGAAGACTTGGTAAGAAAAAAAAAATAATAACCGGCTTAATAAAATGCGAAATCGTGCTCCTGGATTTGCTCTCCGCGGCTTTATGCCCCCGTGGAGTTAGCAGGCGCCTGGGGAGGAGGTCACGGCGCTGTGCATCAGGGCAGGCGTGGGCCCATCCTTCCCTAATTTATTTTTTTCTTAAAAGAAAAGAAAAAAATCCTTTATTTGGCAATTCCTGCGTGAATCAAGTTAGCATTTCACAGCTATTTAACACCTGGTTACAGCGTCTGCGGCAGAACCGCTGATACTCCAGCTCGGCACCCGCTCCGCATGGCGGGATCTGCCCCTTCCCGCAGGCGGGGACCAGCCGGATTTATCTTTCCTCCGTTCCAGGCAGGGATTTCAGGCAGGAGGTGCTTTGCGTGACTTTGTCGGGGGTTTCTCCCGGCGGAGTGAACCCCCAGCTCTCCCCTCAGCTCTCCCCCAGCGCCGCCCCTCGCCCCGTCCAGCTGCCATTACGGTCGGGTGGGAATCGACTCAAGTCCTCAAACCCCAAGAGTTAATCAAAGTGCTTTGAATATGTAAATGCTGAGTATTGTTTATCATTGCCTAGAGCTGATACAGCAGTTTTCCTGCTCAAAGCCCCGTTCAGATGGGAGCTCATGAAAATTCACAACAGCCTCGCAAATAGGTGATGGGGATTATTACCCGCGTCTTCCAAAGGAGCGAGGGGAGGAAGAGCAGCGGAGTGATGCTCCCCGTGGCGGCGGGGATCGGCGATGGAGCCAGTGCTGCTCCGTCCCTATAGGTGTAAACCAGCTCTTGCTTCACTTCCTGCGGCCAAGCGTTTGCCCTGGGCTGCGTGGGTGCAGACGGTGCTGCCGATGCAGCCCTCGGTGGCCGGGTGTGACACTCGCTTAAATATACCCCGAGTTGGCACCAGGCAGGGAATTCCAGGCAGGCAACACGCAATTTTCCATGAGGTTCTTCGGCAAGACCTCCAGCAATGAGTGCTCTGTCAATTAATACAACAATGAGCTTGGTGGGGATCTGTGGGAGTGCAGGGGGCGAGGGCAAGGGAGAGGAGTCCGCGCCCCATGGGAAGGGGCAAATCGGTCTGTGGGTCTCAGCAGGACTCCCTGGGCACAGACATCCCTGCTGTGCAGGCAGGGGGATGCCAGGATGGGGAGAAGGCTCTCCCATCACTCAGCTCCTCTGGGTAAGGGCACTCTGGAGGGGACCATGGGGCTGGAGAGCCCAGCTCACTCCAAACCCATCCACAGCACAAGAGCTCATCCCTCGGTGCTTCCCACCACATTCCTGTGGGTCAACCTGTTGACACCAATGCCTGGAAGAGCTTTTGCCCTCAGCCCGGCTGAGTGCCTCTGCATCCAAGGAGATGCCCCAGTTTTGGGTTCCTCTTGTGCAGGGCAGCTGACCCTGGAGGTCCAGGGCAGCCTCCTGCCTCGTGAGCCGTGCCTGCGGCAGAGCTGCCAACCTCAGGGGAGGCTGGGGGACAGCTGGGAGCAGGACGTGTCTCAGCCAGCCAAATTTAATCCTCCTACGTTAGCAAGGCTTAAAATAGGCTCCCTGCAGCATCGATGAGGGTGGTGGAGTTGGCCTACTCCAGCCCTCCCAAGTATTTTGGGGAAGCAGGGATGGCTGTTTTGCAGACAAGCACAGCTGGGAGGAACTGAGCTGTGCTGTCAGGGCGTCCTTTGCTGAAGCCATTCCAGGAATTAAACACACCTTGTGGTACCCTCGCCCCTCTAACCTCCCACTGCCACCTCTCAGGGTGCCACCTTCTCCCTTGCCATTCCTGCACAGCCCTTTCCTGCTCTCTCCCATGGTCAGAGGGTTCATTTTTCCCTGTGCCTCATGGAAATGATCCCTTTTGGTTAAGCCCAGCTTATGGTCTGTTCTTGATCCCCCCTCCATCAGCTGCCCAGAGGAGATGCCATCCTGAGGAGTGGTTGGCCAGGACATGACCTGGGCAGAAAGCCAGGGAGGAGCCCTGGGAGCAAAGCAGGTGTGGTGACACACTCGAGGAGCCATGGTGGGAACTCTGGGGACTCAAAGGCATCAAGCAGTGCTCATCATGTGGAGAGACTCCTTCCATGTCCCAGGTATGTCTCCTCAGTGCTGGATGTCCCATGGTGAGGGGCAGCCAGCTGTCACTGCCTTGGGCAGGTCCCAGCAGCTCCCTGGGCAGGGCAGGGTGGTGGCTCCAGGAGAAAAGGTTCCTCCTGCACCTCACCCCCAGGACCCCACTCTGGGCTGGGGGATGCAGGGGTTTGGTCTGTGGTGGTGGCTCCTGGGGACCAAGCTTTGGTGGGGTTTGGAGGCTCCTGGGAAAACGCTGCTCCTGATCCAGCAGTGCCTTGGCAGTGCCCGTGGTCACTGGTGCTGCTCAGTCCCTGGTGCTTCATTCCACCCCACAGGCTCTGCCTTCCTCCTGCTGGCTCCCTGCCACAACACCGGCTCTCCATGCCCTGCTGTCCAGAGGCAGGGGCTCCCCTCGAGCTCTGCCCTCCCTGCCTCACCCCGTGCCTGCCTCCCAATGGCACCTGGGGGTTTAGAGAAGCCATTTTCCCTTTTCTCCTTTCTCAGTGCAGCCTCTCCGTGGGCCCACGCACCAGCTGGGCCCCCCACCATGCTACTCCCACCAGCCCTGCTGTGCTGCCTGATGCCTTCCTGCCTTCACCTGGTGGGGCCGAGCCCTGCACGGGAAGGCAGCGAGCACAAAAGAGGTGGGAGAAGCCTCATCTCCCTTTGTGATCCCTCCAGAGCTGCTCTTCACCTGCCTGGTGGATCCCTGAGCGAGCTGCCCATCTTCCCATGAACCACTCTGTGAGCATCCCCTTGGGGAATCCTCTGGAATGAACTCCCCTTGGCAGGAGCAAAACTCCCTCAGGAAAGAGTGCAGAGACAAATTCCTGTGTTCTCCTGGGCTTTGCCAAGCTCCCTGAGCTGGGAACATCACAGGGCTGCACCGAGGCAGCAGAGACCCCGGTGTGCCACTTTGCTTTTTCCTCCACATCCCCAAAGGGTCCCCAAAGAACCCTTTAGGACCCCTCTAGGCTGTTAGAATCCTTATTCACCTGCAGTCCAACCTCCCATCTGCATCTGTCCCTGCCAGCACAGCACAATCCTGTGGGCACTGCTCCCTGCCAGGGTCCCCGTGTCACTGCTGGGGCTCTAAAAGAAAACAAAGCCCCCAGCACAGCCCCTGGTTGTGCACCTCTATGTGGAGGAAGGGTTTTGTCCTGAAAAGTGGTGGCACATCTGTTGGTTGAGCTGGCAGGGCTGGCCACCCTCCGTGGTGACCGTTCCTCGTCCTCGCTCCAGCCCCGAGGGGCTCACGCAGCTGCACTCACGGACCACTGTCCTGCTTCTCGTGGGGCTGGCAGCTCCTGAGATGAGTGAGGGGGGAAAAGGAGTCTGCAGGGGATGGAAGGAGTTGGTGAGGGAAGCTAAAGGATATAGGAATTCGCTGGCACATGGAAGAAAAGGAAAGGGAGAGGGTTTCTCCATAGCAATGACAAAGAATAGGCGATGAGAGGCATTAGTGCATTGCTAAGGGGATTGGTGGATATTCCCACTTGTGCTCAGAAACCCACTGGGACACAACAGCTGTTGAGCTGCTGTCCCAAGATAGTCCCAAAACATCAGCTTTTCCATCGTCTGGACATGGGTACCAGCGGCAGCCACTCAGCTGGAGGCACACCTGGAGCACTCGGGATGCTTGGAGACACCTGGGAATCCACAGCATGCTGCTGGCACAGGAGAAGGGGAGCATTTCACTGGCATTTTCAAGGAGGGTGTGGGACATCCTTGCTCATGACCTGGATAAATACAAAATGGGAAGGAGAACGGGGGGGCCCTGACTGAGCAAGAGGGGCAGAGAGCAGCATGGTTTGTGCCAGACCAAAAACATGAATTAGGTCTTGTCCAGTCCCGAGGAAATGCCGTTGTGCCGGGGCTGGGGTTGGCAGCAGGAAGGCGGCTGCCAGGACCGGCTTCCGCAAGACTTCCTCTCCCATGGCCCTTCGTTAGGGAATTAGGACGTAACGAGACGAAGGCAGCAGAGAGGAAACGAGCGCCCGGGGAGCCGCCGCTGGGGGAGCTCCGGGGGCTCTGCCCTGGCCCTGTTTGCTCTCATTAGGGAGGGGAAGGAAGAGCAGGCAGACGCTGGCAGGCGACCATGGCTCGGGGGAAGCGTGGCCACACGGATGCCTGGAGCAGCCCAGCCAAGGGGCAACCAGGGTACCCCATAAGCCAGGCCAGCAGGCTGGTGGTGGGGAAAGGGAGTGAGCGTGGAGCTGGGGAGCAGTGGGAGCAGTGGGAGCAGTGGGATCATTGGGATCAGTGGGAGCAGCAGCACGTGGGGGTGCAGGCTCTGTGCCATGGAATGGAGGGTTGGGCACAGAACCGACCAGCCGGGCACGGGGCATCAGGCACATGCCACCAGCTAAACCTGCATGCGGCCATCTCCAGGCTCAGTGTGGGCAGGGGTCCAGCACCCATCCCAGCCATGGGCATGCTCAGGAGTGATGGGGCTGAGCCCCAAAGGGAGTGGGATGGAGAGCATGTATCCACAGAGCTGGAGCTCGTGAGGGTGGATGTTTGGGGTCCCATGTGAGTGGGTGGGGTGGAGCTGTGGGAATGGATGGGTTGGATCCAGGGTGAGTGGATGAGCTGGAGCCCATGTGGGATACTCAGAGCCCCTCACCTGTCCCCAGAATTCCCCTCCCACCCCTGCTGTAGGATGTTGTTCTATCCACACCTTCCTGGGACAGCCTGGCCTTTGGCCTTCCAGGCCCCAGCCTGGATGTGGCCCCAGCTCCATGCCAGCTCCAGCTCCATCTCCAGCACCCACAACCAGCAGGTGACAATGCTGGAATAGCCCCACCTGCTCTCCTTGGGGGGCTCTGAGCCCACTGCTCCCTTTCTCCTGGGATCAGGGAGGGTGAATCCCCCCATGACATCCTTCCAGCTCCATCTCTAGGAGCTGCTGGCCTTTCCAAGCTGAGCAGAGGGAAACACCTGCCCTCCAAACCTGGCTCCCTGTGTGCTCCCCACGCAGGGGCAGGATGGGCAGCAGGGACAGCGCTTTCAGTTGCTCGCTATTTTTAATTGCTCTTTCCCAGAAAGGCTGGTGCAGGCTCCTAAAGCTGCTTCCAGCTGGGAGTTTGGAAAGCTGGTTCCAGTTAGGCGCCCGGCGCTCGGAGCTGTTATTTTTAGAAGGGCTGAAGGCAACAGCCCCACTCCCCGGGCTGCTGCTGGGCCCTGGCCATGTCCCCTGGTTGGCAGGACCCCGCTGGACCCTCGGCTGGGGACATCCTGGAGGCGTGATTTTATGACTGCCCTTTTTTTTCTGGTGCTTTTTTGGCAGGGAGGGACTTTCATCTCCCCGTGTCAAGCTGTGCAGCCAGGAAGACCAAAGGCAGAGGATGTGAGCAGTGGTCATCCCTGAAGGGCCGGGGCGCAGAGCAGCATCTTCTGGTTTTAATTAAAAACCATCCGCTGGCAAAGTCTGATGGCGTGAGCGGTGCCTGGGCCGGGACAGGACCAGCAGGGAGCGTCTCCAGGGCAGCGCCCGGCACCGGCCGGGGCTGCCCCGCGTCCGAGCTCCGCCCCACGCCTGCCTTCCGTCCTCGTCCCTCTTCCCCTGCTCCCTCCTGCCTCCTTCCCTCTCCCCAGGGACCCCAGTGCCACTCTCGCCGTCACTTGGTCACCCCATCCATGGCCATGAGCCCTTAGAGTTCTTCCCCTGCTCATCCTCACTGAGGTTCCCCATGTCTGCCCAGTTTGGGGGGTGGGGCAGAGGGCAGGGAGTGCCCCCCAGAGCAGATTATCCCAGGGGATAATATCCCATCCATTCCCGGGCCCTGCCATAGACCCCAGACATTTGCCACGGGCACTGTCCCCTCACTGTGACCCCCACCTCTCTGCCACGGGGCTCACCCCATCACTGTGACCCCCCAGTCCGGTTCCACGGCCCACTCTCTGTCACAACCCTCATCCCTCTTCCATGGAGCTCACTCTGCTCCCGTGCCCCCATCCTCATCCCATCCCCGTGCCCCCAGCCCTCCTCCGCAGGGCTCACCCTCTGCTGTGACCCCCATCCCTGCTCTGAGGGCTCCCCAGCCACCCCGAGCCGCGCTGACTTCACCCGGGCAGCGATTTCCCCATCACATCAAATTCGCCCAGCCCGAGCCCGGCGCGGCCGCTAATCAGCTGGGTTATCTGCGCCCCATTCTTCACCGCTGCCGCTGCCCCGCCCGGGCGCGGGGGCTCATCCCACCGCCCTCCTCCTCCTCCTCCTCCTCCCGCGGCAGCCACCTCCATCCTTCCTTCCCACCCTGCAGCCCCGCCGCCCCCCCGGCCGGAGCGCGGCCAGCTGGCTTTGCCTGCTTTTCGGCTTCAACCTCCCCCAAGGATTCCTAAATCTGATAAGGGAGGGGGGTGCTGCTTTCAAAGGAGCGGGGTTGACCTTTGCCGCTGCAACGAGAGCCGCATGGAGGAAAAAAATTGGCTGCGGCGAGCGGGGGGGAGCGAGCGAGCGAGCTGCTGTGGTTTTACAATCCCTAAATAACGCCGGGAGCTGAGCTGTAAACACATGGCGGTACTGCCTGAGCGTGTCCGCACCCCCTCGATGGAAACCCAGCCTGGAAAATACTCCGACCTTAAAGGAGAGAAAAGGAAGAAATCTCCTGAATTATTTAGCGAACGGTTCCAACCCGACGGCTAATTCTGCCGGCAGACGCCGGCGGCCGGAGCCTGGCGTTGGGAGATGATGGCTATCGGCGCTAGCGGCGGCGCTGGCGGCGGGAGCTGCGGGGTCCCAGCCCGGGGGGACCAGCGGCGCCGCAGGGGTGCAGGACAGAGCAGGGAGCCCTGGCCGATGTCACCCTGCCTGCTGCGTGTCCCTCATTCCCTGGGGCGGGGGACAGAGCACCCCGGCGGCACAAGGGGAGGCGTTCCCACATCCGCTCATCCCACTGAGACACGCAGAGAGGAAACCCCAGCACCTGGAAAGAGCCCCAACGCCCCCTCCTCTGGCACCCCCAGCCCCACGGGCACCCCAAAAGGTCCCCTCTGCCCGGCCTCGCTGCCCGCAGCGCCCCAGCAGTCGGGGGGAGCTGCCACCCCGTCCCCTCTCACCTGCTCTTCCCAATTTTTTTTTTTCTTTTTCTCGGAAGCAACTAACACTTTTCTTTGAAGAGCAACAGATGAGCGAGACCCTCCCAGCGCCTTTTATGATGTTAAATTTATTGCCTGGCTCCACAATTGCCATTTTAATGACGAACGCTCCCACGGCTTTAACGCGGCTGAGTGCTGGCATTGAAAACAGAAGCCGGGGGGGACACGCTGTCTCCGGTCTCCTGGAGGAGAACGGATTCCAGCCCTTTTCCTGATCCTTGCACAAAGTTTTGCCAAATAGATAATGTGTTTTATAATTTCCAGACGGTGCTGTGCTGGTAAGGGAGGCCCTCTGCTGGCACCGAGCTGATGGGGAGAGCCCCGGGAAGCACCAGCGAGGCATCGAGCCTGGGAGACACCTCTGGCAAGGTGTGCCTGGAGAACCGAGCCTGGAGATCCATGTCGAGCAAGCCAGGCCCAAGGAACCTCTGTTCTGGAGGTGCTGGAGGGCTCACAGAGGTCAGCACAGGGAATCGAGCCCACGGGAAGGAGCCTGGGAAATCGAGTTAGGGAAACCAAGTGGAACCAGAAAAGTGAGCCCAGAGCCAGGAGCAGAGACCTGGACCTGGAGAAAGATGCATGGCCAGCCCAGCCCTGAGGGTCACGCCTGGGCTGAGCCCATCCCAGCCCTGCTGCATCCAAAGTGATCCCCAATCCCTGCAGCCCTGCTGGTCACAGCGAGGTGGCTGTGCACACCCAAAGGGAGCAGCCCAGACCTTCCCTTGGCTGGGAAAAGCCCTGGTACCTCTGCCCCATGGGTGGCACCAGGGGGAATGTCTGGGATGCTGGGAGGGAAGGAGGGGACTGATGGCAGCTTTGCCATGGGGTGGTATGGAGCTGCCACAGCCCCACTGTGTCCCAGATGGGGCTGGTGAACGTTCCCCCTCCTCTGGGCACAGAGCCCAGGGGTGACAGTCCCCACACTGGGAGTCCCCAATCCTCTCCAGGAGGGCATCAGGGCCCTGCCAGAGGACAAGGATAAGTCTGGAGCTGGCGATGGACAGCTGCAGTGTGGGGCCAGCCACGCAGACCCACACCAGGGATTTCAACTGAGGACACTGACTTCTACCAGGAGATGCTTTATTTTTTTTTAACGGTGCCTGAAACTCAGCCTGGGTTATCAGGGAGATATTAAATTGCTGTTGGAAGCGACACCAGTGGGGCGGAAAAGCCATGCTGTGCTCTTACCTCTTCCCACAAGGTCGAGGCAGGCAGCCCCGGGGGACGACGCATTCGCCGCGTCCTTCCTGTAGCGAGGATCACATGTCAGAGCCAACGAAGCCTTGAGAAAATTAAACCCGTGAGCTCACCGCCTTCCTGAGCGCAGGCGCCAGCCCTCCCCGAGGTCCCCGAGCCTGGACTGCCAGCTGGGGTGACCTGGCAGCAGTGCCAGTGGCAGGAGGATGCCACCTCCCCAGGGGCCAGCAGCAGTCCCCACCGGCGTGCCTGCAGCTGGGCTGTGCGGTGAAGGAGCTTTGAAGCCTGTTGTGCATCACTGGCTGATGGGGAAGGACCTTCCCATGGGAAGAAGCTGTCAGCCTTGGCAGAACACAGTTGCAAAAGTCTCCTGAAGGCCTTCAGCCAGATTTCCTCTGGGGGATCCAAGTTCCTGCTTGGGCAAAGGGACGGACAGATGGGTTCAGCCCTGGTGGGACTGGCACATCTTGCCGTCGCCAGGGCTGTGCCCACACTGGGAGGTGGCCAGGCGTGGGGCTGGGCTTTTTCCAGGGCAAGGTAAGTGCTGTTGCCTCTGTGGCACAGTGGATGGACAGAATCAACGAGAAGGGCAACACAGTCCGCAGGAGAGCCTGTGTGTTCATGGGGGTTCACCTGGAGACCCCCAAGAACACAGGGACCCCAAGCTGCCCACCCCTCAGTCAGCTGGGACCAGCACTGGAGAAGGGACATCACGAGTAACACTGCCTGGGAGGGACAAGAGGAGCCAAGAGTATGAGTTTGGGACCTGGGGACAGTGAGGGATTGCCCAAGATAGCAAGAGGAGCAAGGGGAGGATGAAGGAGAGGTCCAAGGGAGGACCTAGAGACAATTGTCCATGGGGCTGTTAAAGCCCCAGGGCTGAGCCAGACCTCTTCCCAGGGCACCCTCTGCTCTCCCAACTTTGCTGACATTCCCCAGCTCAGAGGGGGAGCAGAAATGCAGCTCAGCTCCCATTTCCCCCTCCAGGTACTTTCTCCTTCATCACCCTCTTCCTCCTCCAACCAGCCCAGCTCTGCACTTTGGCTCTGCCCCTTCCCAGCCAGCCACAAGGCACCAGGGCTGTTTTTTCATGTTCCCACTAGGCGCCCCCCACAAAGAATGGGGTTTCAGTGGGTCCATGGACCCCTTGGCACAGCCCTTGGGGGTCTCCAGTTCCACCAGTGGCACAGGCAGGCAGTGCATGCACACACACACACCCACACACAAAAACCCCCTCTCCCTGCCACCACAGGGGCCCAGGCTCAGCAGCCACCTCCAGGCCCTCCCCAGGACCAGCAGGGGCACAGCCAGCCCCAGCCCCTGGCACAGCCCAGCCCGGGCAGGGCTGCAGCCCCGAGCAGGCGGCGGAGGGACGGCAGCAGGCAGGCAGGAGCCGTGCGGGGATGCTCCAGCAGCTGCCGCCAGCACGGCTGGCGGATGCCCTTTGGCCAGGAGCAGCCAGGCTTTTTTTCCAACCCTTCCCAGAAAGAAAACAACAACGCAAGCCCCATAACAAGCTGGAGGGAAGCAGCGAGGAGGCGGCAGATAAGAGGCTGGAGCCGCGCGGAGGCCTCACGGAGATGAAAGGCGATTGCGAACGAGCCTCCCCATCCCCTGCGGACAAAAGAGCTCCTAAAATATTAACGAGGCCCCGTGCCGCCAGGTCCCCCGGCCCCCAGCGCCGGCAGGAGCAGGCGGTACCCGCGCTGCCGGCCGAGGGGTCCTGGGGGATGGAGGCGCAGCGGGGAGCAGCGCAGGATGCTCATTAATTACCTCCGTGCTCCGCGCTGGCAAACGTGCCCCCCGCTTCCCTCGCCACCCCAGGGAGCCGCTGCCACCTCCCCAGCGGATCGGCGTTTAAAGAGCACCGAGCAGGAGCTGTGTGGGCATGGTGGCCCCTCGCTGCCATCTCGGCACCCGAAGGTGCAGCCTCAGCCCCCCAGCACCGCCCCGGTGAATTTGGGGAGAAGCTGGGGCTTCACGGGGGTATTTGCACACCAGCAGCAGGGTGGGGAATGGGGAGCAGGGGAGGGTGCTCGCTCCTGCTTTGTCTGCCTGTGGCTCACCAGGCCCAGGCTGGGGATGGGTGCCTGGGGTGGGGTCCTGTGGGAGCAGCCCACCCTGAGGGGGATGAGCACGCTGTGACACGGGCACTGCTCCTGCCGCATTCCCGCTCCATCAGCTGTCCCAGTGCCCGAGTGGCTCCGTCCCCACTGGCGCCCATCCTCGGAGCCCACCTGTGCACAGCACAGCCGGCCCGTGTGCTGCAGTCCCGGGCCTGGCTCCGTATCCCGGCGAGGACAGGGGCACCGTGACACCGGCAGCCAGGCCGAGCACCCTGGGGACTGGAGGTGACCTCGTGGAAGAAGCATCCACCCGCCGAGGGCAGAGCTGCCCCGTTCCCTCCTCACTGGGCAGAGCACAGGGCTGGCTGTCAAGGGGGCGGCAGGAGAAGGGCGATGTTCGTGCTCCTCGAACGTGGCTCCGGGACGAGCAGCGGGATAACAACAGCTCCAGCGCTGGGTCCGGAAGCGGGTCCGCAGCAGCCGTCAGATCGGGCCATTTGCATAGCACAGATGGCAGCCCAGGAATTTCAAAGCGTCCCCCGTGCCGCGGCAGCTGAAGGGCTCGGTGGCCCCGCGCAGCTGCCGGAGGGAAGCCGAGCTGCCCCGGCCTCCGGGGCACACCGGGCACGGCACGGGCACACCGGGCACGGCACGGCACGGCCAGCACCGCTGCCCAGCCGTGGGGCAGCGATGGAGGGGGACGTGCGGGCTCCGGGCCCGCATGGAAGGGCTCCCGCAAGGGCTGGAGGGCATGACATGTGAGAGACGACGGGAGCTAAATTTACACGGCGGCGGAGCGAGCTGCCTCCAAGGAGACGTGATCACGGGCTATAAATACCTGCAAGGAAACAACGGGGACAGGGACGGTGAATTATTCACAGGCGCAAGATGGCAGGGCACGGAGCGAGCCAGGCCGGGAGAGGGAGCTGGGCCGGGGCAGCCCGGGATCGGCCCGGCTGTGGGCCATGGGGACAGCCAGGGCCGGGACACCCCTTGTGCCCGGAGCTCCTCGGTGGCGGTGTGAGGGTCCCGGGGGTGAAGCCCAGCCTGGCACCGTGCTGCCCCGAGGTGCCTCCTCCAGGGGGTGGCTGGCACCAGGGATGGCCGCTGGTGGCAGGGTGTGGCCAGGTTCTGGGTGCCCCTGCCAGACAGGGCGTGAGGACAGGTCCAGCATCTCCCATGCTGGTCCTGAGTGCGCAAGAGGGGACAGCAATAAGGTGATGTCCC